TAAAATGATTGTTATGCCTTTGCAAAGGCATTCAAGAATGCGGACCTCTAGAAAGACCGCGAAGATGCTAAATTTTCATATATATATTGAAATAGTGTCGTGCCTTTCTCAAAAGGCATTAAACTTTGCCGCCATTTAAAATGCTCCATCATTGTTTTATGTGTGAGGATCAGATCATTTGCTGCCATCTGCAGATTGCTCGAATCGCGCCAAGCAGTAGAAAGTAAATAAACATTTAATTTAGAAAGGGTTAAACAAAAACCAACTGAACAACGGCAACGACATATGCGCCCTGCGCACAAACACCAACAGTGTCTCTACTGCGCTCCCGCTCTCCCCCTTCATTCCGTATAGCACGAGCGCCGGGACGCTCTTGCTCGGCTGGTTCGCCCAGGTTGCTGCTGCGAAGTCTGTGTCTGCGTGGCGCGCTGCGGGGGGCCGGCCGGGCCGGAGAGAGAGTGGGTGGCGCAAAAAGTACGGGCTCGCTGGACTATTTAACTCCGCGTGTGCAGAGGCTGGGGCCGCTCTCCAGATATCAGGATTAATTCATTAGGCAGAGGCAGCCTGGCCTTGTCGGGCGCGGGCGGTGGCGGCGGCCTCGAGCGAGCCGAAACCGTGCCCGCGAAATTTTTAATGTTCAAAGCAGAAAACTGCTGCACAGCGGCGGCGGGAGCAGAGGGTTCTCCTTGAAAAATGGATGAAAATCATAAATACAACGAATTTTGGGAGAAAACAAAACAGAAGGAAAGCGAAACGTCTACCCTATGCTGGTCCCCGGGCCACAGCGGGGAGCGCAGCACTAGCCCAACCACCGCCGATGGAAGCCCGTCTCCAATTTTCATGAGGATCCACAATTGAGTGTCTCTTTCTCTCTCCCCCTTGCGGCGGCTCACTGGTCGTGCCCCTGGCCGGCTCACTGCTGGCTGTGTAGGACAGGGCCACTTAGCTGGGCGTCGCATGGCAGCGTGGCAGGGCGCAGAGTCGCCTTGATTACAAGGAAGGCGCCATGTTGGGGCCACAAGGGGCCCCCGCCGCCCCGGGCGGCCCGGCCCGGGCCCAAGACACACTGCCCGGAGCGCGCGTGGGGCAGCGCGCCTGCGAGGTAGGCCGCCCGGGAGCAGCCCTGCGCGGCGGGCGTGCACACCTCGCAGGCGTTTCAGCCAGCACAGCACGCCAGCGAGGTAGGCCGCCCGGGAGCAGCATTGCGCGGCGGGCGTGCACACCTCCCAGGCGTTACAGCCAGAACGCCCGCGAGATAGGCCGCCCGAGAGCAGCCCTGCTCGACGGGCGTGCATACCCCGCAGGCGCGCTGCGTGACGACACGACGAGCTCCCAAGGTAAAAAACACACACGCGCCTGATACCATCGCACACACGCATGCCGTTAGCGTGCGCCCCGGCGGTGTGTCACGCTGCACTGATTATACCCCGTTCACCCGCATTAAGGGCATTACGATAATGGCGCCTGCAGACCCTCGTTCAAACACCTGCGGGGGGAAATTTGCCTCCTTTTTATTATTTTTCATTTTGTCTGGTCCCACTTATGGGGGACTCTGCGCTTTCCACATAAATTTTCAACGAGCATTCTGTATGATTGCTGAAAATAAAAATTCTGATCATAACCTAAGTTTTCACGCGGCGAAAATTGCTCTAAAATTGCAAGTCAGGAATATTCGCATGAGAACTATCAAACCACCAGGAGCGCCCGTGCTTACTGCGTACGACGTCTAAAAACGTCGTGTCCAACAAAAGCAACTGTCTTATACCGCCGGCCACACACTTTACTCGCTCCCCCTCCCTGTTGCTGAGGTGGCGGAGCGTACTCAAAGAGTTTTGTTAAGCTCCCCTGCAATCCAACCCCAAGCGACCCCAATAATAACCCTTTTGTAGCGACAAGCTGCGATCCCGCGCACGCGCCCTCATGTGTGTGTGAGAGGGACAGAGGGAGAGAGAGAAAGAGAGGGAGTGAGAG